CTAAGAGTGATGTCAGAAGGAGTGAATGTGACGACGAGAAAAAAAGCATACAAATGCGCCGCGAACACAATATTCCAATCAGCAATTGATTGCCCTTGTTGCGATCACCACATTTAAATTTCTTCTTGTCTGCATGCCTGTCCAAGGAAGGCGGTGAGTATGACTGGCAGAGATCCTAGTATTCCATAAGAGTCGAAGGAATGGTGCGGGTGGCTGAAAAATAACAGTAGATGTGTTTTTGCGAGGCCATACTAGAAGGTTGAGACATCTTTGATTTCACTTCTTTTTACGATGGCCATTTCCATCGTGTACTGCTCCTTGCCACTCCCAGCGTACATACTCCTGACCAGGGGCGTGAAACAAGATCATACTGCTTTCATGTAACAACCGTATCGATATCTGTGGGAAACTGTTCATTTTTCTTTTTAAATGATTACATTCTTTCATTAAAATCGCCGCTCTTTCCATCGCCATGGACAGCGGGTCATGTTGCGGCGACTGGAGGCGAGGAGGACTGTACTCGGAGTGCTTTGGTGCTTTTTTCTTGCGGTGTCTGTTGGCACGTTGCTCGGACACTCCTCTCGAGGATTTGTGGATGGTGCCGCTTTTCGGAGAGGTAAAACGTACAGTGTACGAAGGAGCTTCTCAAGCGCCCCACAAAAGTAAAGTATGGAGAGACGCATCAACCCAACCCTACCGTGTCCTTTTCGTACTCCACCGCCACATCTGCCAAATCCTCCGCTCCTAATAGGATCACCATGCTCCCACGGGTTTTCCAGCGCACCCGTGTTTCCTTTACGTCCGCAATTCCGACGCCTCCTCGCAGAGTCGTCGGCTCATGCCCCCTAGCGGCGTCTTCTCAAAGCGTCAATCGCGAGGAGGTTAATACCACAACCAGGAAACCCTACGCCACGTCCGTCTCGAAAGAAGCGACAAGGCATGCACACGCTCCCGTCGACGACACAGCAACGTCGACAACCTCGGCTGGTGCAGCCGGCGTGTCAGGTGTCTGCGATGACCCCGGCAAAAGCAATTCACAGCTAAGTTCCGATTCGTTCCCGGAGGATATAGTGGCACATTTGGATAAGTATGTCATCGGGCAAGAGGAGGCCAAAAAAGCCACGGCCATCGCTATGCGCATGCGTTGGCGTCGAAACCAGCTCCCGGAAGATTTGCGGGCGGAAGTGACGCCCTCAAATATTTTAATGAAAGGACCCACCGGGACGGGCAAGACCGAGATTGCCAGGCGTCTGAGTGCACTGGCCGAAGCCCCATTCATTAAAGTGGAAGCCACGCGATACACGGAAGTGGTGAGTGAAGCAGCGGGTGGCTGTTTTCGTCCGGATAGAGCCACGACAAGGACCATGGCAACAGTCACCGTCTCACCCATGCCCTCCCCCCTCCTCTTCCTCTTTCCCTCCCTTCCCCCCTTCCTCTTTCGCTCCCTCCCGTCAGGGTTTCGTGGGCGCCAACACCAGCGACATGATCAAGGGACTCCTGGACAACGCCGTGCGCCTAGAGCGGGAGCTGGAGAAGAAGAATGTGGCGGCGGAGGCCCACGCCAAGGCCGAGACTAAGGTCCTCGACCTCCTCAAGGTACGTCGAGCTCCCTGCCCTCCCTGCTTCCCTCCTCCCTGCTCTCGTCCCCTTTATCAGACCTCCCTCCTCTCTTACCCTTTACCTTCATCCTCTTGCTCAGCTCTTCCTCTTTCCCACCCTTTCCATCCTTTCATATCTTCTCTTCCTGCCACCCTTCCCTCCCCTACATACATATACATACTATCTTGTCCATCCCTCTTCATTTTTTCTCTTTCCCTCCATATCTCTCTCACGCCCTCCTTCCCCCTCCCTGCGGTTTCCTCATTCTTCCCTCCCGCCTCTCCGCGGTTAATTTCTCCCCCTCCCTCCTTCCCTCCCTCCGCCCCTCCCTCGTCCATTTCTCCCTTCCTTCCCCTCCTCCCTTTCCCTCCCCCTTATCCAGCTAGGAAATCCCAAGGGTTTGAGTTCCGAGCAACAACAAGACTTAAGGAGCCGTTTGCGTGGAGGCGAGTTCGACCATTACACCGTCCGCGTCCCCCCCCGAGAACCCCGGTCGCCCTCCTCCCCTTCCTCTCTCCACCCCCTCTCCGACTTGTTGGACGGCTTGGACCTGGGGAACATCAATATGGGCCAAGGA